TATTACTGCTAAAGTTTATAGTATTTCTTTGTTGCTGAAATAAAGTCTAAATTACAGTATTTACTAGTGATCCATGTCTGCCATGTCAACTATCAGTAGGCTATGCAATGAACATTGATCGAATGCGTTATTCTCTACATTTCATTTCAACTTTTTTTCTCAAAACACAACGAGTTTATTCTCGAAATTAAATGAGTTTATTCTCAAGATTGTATTTCGACTTTTTTCTCGAAATTTAATGAGTTTAATCTAACATTTTAATGACTTTAATCTCAAGATGATTTTATTTTTTTTATTATTGCTTGGCCCTAATCATAGAGGATTAGGGCCAAGCAATAATAAAAAAATAAAACCATGATGAACCCAATAAATTAATATTGATGAACCCGTTATTTTACATATGCATCTGCTTACATGAGATATTGTTTGTTTCTGCTTCTTTTTTGTCCGTGTTTTGATCAGGAGATTCAGTACTCTTTCAGAAGATGCATAATAGCGTCCCCTACCGTATAACAGTGAAAACACGGAAAGCCGAAATTTTGGAGGAAAGCGTTAAACTTTGGCAGAAGATAGAAATGAATGTTGCTGATTCTCTCACAAGACTTGAATTGCAGTTTCTTTATGTTTCAAAGTGTAACCGGTCCTACTGACCCGCTCCGAGCGGGATTCAAAAAACTGAGGTCTTGAGATCAGGGGAGTGAGGTTTACACACACATTTCTTACTGGCCTAGACAGTTACACTCACCCCCCTTAACCCTTACTCCAACTCGGGTCACGGCACCAAATTTAAACCCAAATCCTACCCAGCTCCGAGCTGGATTTGAATGGTGTGGGAGCGGGCGCAGCCGCTGGCGTCAGTCGCTAGTGCGCCTCTTGACATCAGGGAAGTGAGGTTTACATGCACAGATCTTACTGGCCTACGACAGTAAGATCTGCATTCAATTTCGCAACTGATGTCACACTTTCATGTGCACATGCTCTATGAACTCAGGATTAAAGCTTGAGTTGACAGAGAAAGTTGATGATCAGCGTCATGGTACAAACAAAGCCTGATTGAATTGGTTTGGTTTCATAAACTTGAGTTGAAACTAACCCTTTTTCACGAGTTCAACTACCGTCATGATTTAGACCCCTGGGGGAGACCAGCCCCCAAATTCGATACTTTTACAAGGGGAAATAAAACATGGTGTAATAGTTTTGTGATTTTTTTTTCCCCCTTTTCAAGTTCATAGCAATCCACCCACGAACACGCAGTACGCAGTATTTTGGTGAGAAGGAATTTCTATAGTTTGATGTAAAACATGTCTGATAATAATGTAGACATTCAAATATTATTCTATCTTAAATGTAAGCATGGTTTTTGGCAGAGGGGTTGCCAAAGAATATTTATTCATTTATTCAGTCAGTCAAATCAAGCTGTGTAAAAGAAAACATGTGTTGTGTTGTGAGCACAGTGGGATATTTCCTATCAGAAATTAATCTAGGATTCGTAAAGGATTTTTTTGACAAATGTTAAGGAATTCACCAAAACAGATTAATGAGGAACAAAATCACAATGGCTCATTCTCACTAATATGCAAGTCAGAGAAAATGATTAAATGATGCAACTGTCCTTCAGACAAAAATATATTTTTAATCAAAACAATAACTGCAAAGTATGGCCAGCAAGACATTGTTGCCCAGTAAATTTTTCCAATTCAATCTCCATTGGCAATAATTAAATACAATTTCTATATAATACGTTTAATATCTCAGTTTCGTTTATATCTCAGTGGAAATGTATCTGAAGCCTGCTTTTAACAAGAAGAATCTCACCCATATCAAATAATAGAATTTCTTCAGAGAGCATTTTTGTCGTTTGGAGAATGTCAATGGATAAAAGGTAGAATATCTGGGAAAGAAATGTCTGTTATTGACTAACAGTAACTCTGTCCAACCTCTGACAAAACTCTCTGACTGTGTGACATACTAACTGTAGTGTGGGGCTCGAACCGTCTCTTTGCGCTTGATGTGTGCCTGCTTCAACTTCCTTGAGGGCTCATTAACATACAAATGGATTTCTGCGCTTGAAAAGCACCTGTGCCATGATTCCAAATGAGGAATGGACGGTTTAGTTCCCACTGCTTTATTATAAAGTGATATTAATGTTTGTCTGTTTAAGAATTCTTACCGAGCTCCACCAATTTCAGCCACTAATTGTCACGACTTGAGCTCAATGTCCTGAGACCTGAACTCGAGTCTCAAACACAGAAATACACAGGGCGAAAAAGTCTCTTATGCTCATTAAAGCTGCATGCATTTGATCAGAAATACAGTAAAACAATAATATTGTGAAATATTATTACAATTTACTGCAGGGAACTGCTTTGTATTTTAATATGTTTAAAATGTAATGTGATCAAAGCTGAATTTTCAGCATCATTTTTTCAGTCTTCAGTCACATGATCCATCAGAAATCATTCTAATATGCTGATGTGGTGCTCAAGAAACATTTCTGATTAATATAAACAGTTATGCTGATATTTTTTTTCTTTTTTTTTCTTTTAGGGAATCTGTGATATACTATTCAAAAGTTTGGGCTAAGTAGCCTATAATTGAACAAAAAAAATAAATAAGAAAGAAATTAATACTTTTATTAATCAAGGATGCATTGAATTGACACAAAGTAAAGAGATTTATTATGTTACAAATGATTTTCATTTCAAATAAATGCTGTTTTCACTAAAAATTAGTGCTGGACGATTAATTACATCCCAAATAAAAGTTTGTGTTTACATAATATTTGTGTGTGTACTGTGTATAATTATTTGTACGCACACATGCATGTATAAATTTAAGTGCCCTTTCAAGGGAACTTCGAGCTGCGTTGCCAAACGCGATGGGAACGCTCTGCGTGATTGCGTCGTGAATCATCTGTACAATCAGTCCAATGAGAGAGTAGGACGTCAGGTGACGTCACTGACCAGGAAACTATAAAGCACCCTTGAGATCAGACCGCGACAGCTTCTGTAGCCTTCAGCAAGCGATCTCTGTACTTTGTCCTTGTCTATTTATTGTTGTTTGTCAAAGCCAAGAAAAGAAATATATATCACTATCTATATTTATGGCAAAGCAAGATTATAGACGCTGTGTGGTTCCCTGCCCTCGTTACATCACGGGTGGGGACACACATCAGCTATTTGTTTGGGAGTGGAGCATGCCAGCAGTCAGTTCTCGAGGGAGCTGACTGTGGGCATTGCGAGAAGCTGTCCGCGAAGACGCTCCTCCGCTCCCGCCGGGCGTTCTCCGAGGAGGACGGTTCGGTTCGCGGTCCCCGCGCGGGTCTCTCTGTTGCCGAGGCACGGAGACGACTCGCATTTCGGGGTTCGCAAATGGATCTGACAGCGGGGGTTGGGGGACGAGCTCAGCTCTATCTCAGCTTTCACATGCCAGATCTAGTGGACTGCGATTTCCAGTTCCGAGGAATTGGCATCGTTAGTGTTTTGTTTTAAAAAGAAACAGTACAAAACAAATAAAAATGTTAAAAGAAATACATATGTTTGACTTTTAAATGAATGAATAAATAAGTCAGCTCATATCTGCTGAATAAAGAGGAGCTTTTAAAAGGAGGTTTTATTTATGCTTTTGCCAGTTAAAATTTTACTGGCTAGCTGACTATTATGAGATTGAAAAATAAATAAGAGTTTTTAGATTAAATCTATCTTAAAAACTAGAAAACTCTGTATCTCAGCCTCCTCGTCGGGGTTTATATTTTATGTGTTGATGGGTCCTATTGTGCTGCAGGCCTTCTGTCCTCCACCCTTCAATACCCCAGATCAGGAAAGTCTCAATCTGTTATGTCCAATTCGGGCATTGGATGCTTATGTTCACAACCCTGTGGCGTAAGTCAGAGCAATTATTAGTCTGCTTGGGTTCGACTAAGAAAGGTTGCCCGGCATCGAGACTAGTATGAGCAAGTGGATTGAGGCTATCTCTATTGCTTATAATGCAATAATGCACCGCGCCCATTCTACTAGGAGTATGGCTGCCTCTAAGGCTTTAATTTCGGGTGTTTCCCTTTATGACGTTTGTAATGCGGCAGGGTGGTCCTCACTGCATACATTTGTCAGGTTTTATGACCTAGACCTTTCCACTTCCGGTGCTAGGTTGCTCGCTTCTTAGTGTGCGCATTGGACTTCACACAGAACGGGCATTTCTCAGCATGGCATAGTGGGTATGGGGTTCCCATCGCGTTTGACAACGCAGCTCGAAGTTCCCTTGAAAGGGAACGTCTCAGGTTATGTAACCCTGGTTCCCTGAGAGGGAACGAGAGCTGCATTCGCCTGCCATACTTCCTGCATGCCCTGATCGACTTGCTTCAGGCCTTTCACAGAAGCTGTCGCGGTCTGATCTCAAGGGTGTTTTATAGTTTCCTGGTCAGTGACGTCACCTGACGTCCTACTCTCTCATTGGACTGATTGTACAGACGCTTCACGACGCAATCACGCAGAGCGTTCCCATCGCGTTTGACAACGCAGCTCTCGTTCTCTCTCAGGGAACCAGGGTTACATACGTAACCTGAGACGATTTATATATATATATGCACGTGTGTGTTTATATATACAAAATAATTATACACAGTACACACACACATATATTATGGAAACACACACTTTTATTTTGGATGCTATTAATCACAATTAATCATTGCCCAGCACTAAAAATATATATATACATCAAGGTTTTCAAAAATATAAAGTAGCAAAATCTGTTCAACATTGATGATAAGAATTATTAAAAATTGTGCACCAATAATAATTGATAATGATTGAGCACCAAATCATCATATTAGAATGATTTATGAAAGATCATGTGACATTGAAGTCTGGAGAATGCTGTAAAATTTAGGAACCAGGATACTTATTGTTTATGTTAAACCAACAATATTTTTTAGAGTGTAATATACTTTAAAGTTGTTTGACTCTCTCCACAAACATCTCTTTCGGCAATTTCTTTTTTAGCTTCGCAAGCAAGGTCAAGTGCGAGGAACCAGTGCTGCTGATGAATGAGACCAACCACGACCACCGCTTTCCTCAAGAAGAGGATCGGCCAGGCCAAATCACACCAGTGGAGCCAATCCCATTAGATTTACTCAGTCAGGAGCTCTACATTTAGATTCGTTACTGATATTTTAGATATAAACCTCTCTTCCCCACAGTGCCTTTATCACAAATACTGAAGAAAAACTTTTTTTTTTGTCTTGTTCATTCACTTACTCATTTAAAGCAGTTTTCTAGACGTTTCCCTCAGGGCAGGGCCAGGCTTTACATTTCACTTCCTCCACTCTTGTCTGGTCCTGCCTGGGCTTTATTAGGAACAAACTTTGGGAACACGCCATTTACAATCAATTTTCGCTCCAAAAATCACAATTGTACAAGCATATATATGCACACAGATGCACAAACACTCCCAGGTGTGAATTCCTGTGTGGTGATTTCCCACAAGGCCTTTAAGGGTGAAGATTGCCTTTAGTGTGTTTAATTGCATGCTTCTTTTCAAAATCTGTTATAACAATATCCTTTATAGAATAAGTCTCTAAGTGCTTGAAGATTATGTGCTATGCTAAAGAAAAGGATCAACCAAAAATGAAAATTTGTGTCATTGGAAATACTTTTTTTTCTCTATTACATGAATGTTATCAAAGACCCAGTGTTACAGTACATTTGTCAAGGTACTCTCACACTGTTTTCAGGATATTAACCTTTGAATATGTTCCTCCACACTTGCACTGACTTGTCCTGCCTTACTTTTCCATGTGCTCTAATGTGTCCATTTTACCTCTGTTGCCTTAAACTAGTCAATTTTCAACTAGCAAAAAAAATAAATAAAAAAAAATACGGTTTGTGTAATGTAATGCTCTTTATATTTTATATATTATTCTGAAATGTGCTGCATGGGTGCAACTTTGTTGTAGAATACACAAGCAGCATTTTTAAGCTTGTGTAACTGCATAAATGACTGTTGAATCAAACCATGAAATCCATGAAAATGAGTTTAACTTCCTATAATGCTTTTCTGTTTGCAAACTGCTTTGAAGTTGAATTATGTTATGAAGATTAATCGACACAAGGGCACTGTGTATTGGGACTGGTTATAGACAATATCAAATCAAGTGTTTAATTCGAATTTTGGAAATCTACTTTTAATGCTTGTAGGGATAAAACAAAAAGTTATTGATGTATGTAAATGCATCTGAAATTAAAAATAGTGAGAATATTTTTCTTTTGTGTGTTTGAACATATAATTCCCACCTAATTTTGCCTTGTCATCTCATTAGTCATTTTTGTGAAGTCAAACATTATTGCCCACACATAGGTACTCTTTAAAGCTGCAGTCCACAGTTTTTCCTCTTTGTCGCCATCTCTGTTCGAAGTCTGCAATTGCAGTTATTCGCGAAATTAGATGCGACTAGCTGACTATATTCGGCTAGAGCCGACTATAGATAAGACTATTAGATACGACTATATTCGACTATTAGATACGACTATATAGCCGACTATATTCGATTAGATACGAATATAGCCGACTAGCCGAGACTCTTCTTTATGTGTACAGATGTGACGTAATGACTCAATATAGTCTTCTAGCTGAGACTCTTCTTTATGTGTACAGATGTGACTTAATGACTCAATAAAGCCGACTAGCCGAGACTCTTCTTTATGTGTACAGATGTGACGTAATGACTCAATATGGGCGACTAGCCGAGACTCTTCTTTATGTGTACAGATGTGATGTAATGACTCAATGTAGCCGACTAGCCGAGACTCTTCTTTATGTGTACAGATGTGACGTAATGACTCAATGTAGCCGACTAGCCGAGACTCTTCTTTATGTGTACAGAGGTGACATAATGACTCAATATAGCCGACTAGCTGAGACTCTTCTTTATGTGTACAGATGTGACGTAATGACTCAATATAGTCGACTAGCCGAGACTCTTCTTTATGTGTGCAGATGTGACGTAATTACTCAATATAGCCGACTAGCCGAGACTCTTCTTTATGTGTACAGATGTGACATAATGACTCAATATAGTCTTCTAGCCGAGACTCTTCTTTATGTGTACAGATGTGACGTAATGACTCAATATAGTCGACTAGCCGAGACTCTTCTTTATGTGTGCAGATGTGACCTAATTACTCAATATAGCCGACTAGCCGAGACTCTTCTTTATGTGTGCAGATGTGACATAATGACTCAATATAGTCTTCTAGCCGAGACTCTTCTTTATGTGTACAGATGTGACGTAATGACTCAATATAGTCGACTAGCCGAGACTCTTCTTAATGTGTACAGATGTGACGTAATGACTCAATATAGCCGACTAGCCGAGACTCTTCTTTATGTGTACAGATGTGACGTAATGACTCAATATAGTCGACTAGCCGAGACTCTTCTTTATGTGTGCAGATGTGACGTAATGACTCAATATAGCCGACTAGCCGAGACTCTTCTTTATGTGTACAGATGTGACATAATGACTCAATATAGCCGACTAGCCGAGACTCTTCTTTATGTGTACAGATGTGACGTAATGACTCAATATAGCCGACTAGCCGAGACTCTTCTTTATGTGTACAGATGTGACATAATGACTCAATATACCCGACTAGACGAGACTCTTCTTTATGTGTACAGATGTGACATAATGACTCAATATAGCCGACTAGCCGAGACTCTTCTTTATGTGTACAGATGTGACTTAATGACTCAATATAGTCGACTAGCCGAGACTCTTCTTTATGTGTGCAGATGTGACATAATGACTCAATATAGTCGACTAGCCGAGACTCTTCTTTATGTGTGCAGATGTGACATAATGACTCAATATAGTCGACTAGCCGAGACTCTTCTTTATGTGTACAGATGTGACGTAATGACTCAATATGGGCGACTAGCCGAGACTCTTCTATATGTGTACAGATGTGACGTAATGACTCAATATAGTCGACTAGCCGAGACTCTTCTTTATATGTGCAGATGTGACATAATGACTCAATATAGCCGACTAGCCGAGACTCTTCTTTATGTGTACAGATGTGACGTAATGACTCAATATAGTCGACTAGCCGAGACTCTTCTTTATGTGTACAGATGTGACGTAATGACTCAATATGGGCGACTAGCCGAGACTCTTCTTTATGTGTACAGATGTGACTTAATGACTCAATATAGTCGACTAGCCGAGACTCTTCTTTATGTGTACAGATGTGACTTAATGACTCAATATAGTCGACTAGCAGAGACTCTTCTTTATGTGTACAGATGTGACGTAATGACTCAATATAGCCGACTAGCCGAGACTCTTCTTTATGTGTACAGACGTGACGTATTGACTCAATATGGGCGACTAGCCGAGACTCTTCTTTATGTGTACAGATGTGATGTAATGACTCAATGTAGCCGACTAGCCGAGACTCTTCTTTGTGTACAGATGTGACATAATGACTCAATATAGCCGACTAGCTGAGACTCTTCTTTATGTGTGCAGATGTGACGTAATGACTCAATATAGTCGACTAGCCGAGACTCTTCTTTATGTGTGCAGATGTGACATAATGACTCAATATAGTCTTCTAGCCGAGACTCTTCTTTATGTGTACAGATGTGGCGTAATGACTCAATATAGCCGACTAGCCGAGACTCTTTTTTATGTGTACAGACGTGACGTAATGACTCAATATGGGCGACTAGCCGAGACTCTTCTTTATGTGTACAGATGTGACATAATGACTCAATATAGTCTACTAGACGAGACTCTTCTTTATGTGTGCAGATGTGACGTAATGACTCAATATAGTCTACTAGACGAGACTCTTCTTTATGTGTGCAGATGTGACGTAATGACTCAATATAGCCGACTAGCCGAGACTCTTCTTTATGTGTACAGATGTGACGTAATGACTCAATATAGCCGACTAGCCGAGACTCTTCTTTATGTGTACAGATGTGACGTAATGACTCAATATAGCCGACTAGCCGAGACTCTTCTTTATGTGTACAGATGTGACGTAATGACTCAATATGGGCGACTAGCCGAGACTCTTCTTTATGTGTACAGATGTGACGTAATGACTCAATATAGTCGACTAGCCGAGACTCTTCTTTATGTGTACAGATGTGACGTAATGACTCAATATAGTCGACTAGCCGAGACTCTTCTTTATGTGTACAGATGTGACGTAATGACTCAATATAGTCTTCTAGCTGAGACTCATCTTTATGTGTGCAGATGTGGCGTAATGACTTAATATAGTCTTCTAGCTGAGACTCTTCTTTATGTGTACAGATGTGACGTAATGACTCAATATAGTCGACTAGCCGAGACTCTTCTTTATGTGTACAGATGTGACGTAATGACTCAATATAGCCGACTAGCCGAGACTCTTCTTTATGTGTACAGATGTGACGTAATGACTCAATATAGCCGACTAGCCGAGACTCTTCTTTATGTGTACAGATGTGACGTAATGACTCAATATAGCCGACTAGCCGAGACTCTTCTTTATGTGTACAGATGTGACGTAATGACTCAATATAGTCGACTAGCCGAGACTCTTCTTTATGTGTACAGACGTGACGTAATGACTCAATATGGGCGACTAGCCGAGACTCTTCTTTATGTGTACAGATGTGACTTAATGACTCAATATAGTCGACTAGCCGAGACTCTTCTTTATGTGTACAGATGTGAGTTAATGACTCAATATAGTCGACTAGCAGAGACTCTTCTTTATGTGTACAGATGTGACGTAATGACTCAATATAGCCGACTAGCCGAGACTCTTCTTTATGTGTACAGATGTGACGTATTGACTCAATATGGGCGACTAGCCGAGACTCTTCTTTATGTGTACAGATGTGATGTAATGACTCAATATAGCCGACTAGCCGAGACTCTTCTTTGTGTACAGATGTGACGTAATGACTCAATATAGCCGACTAGCCGAGACTCTTCTTTATGTGTGCAGATGTGACGTAATGACTCAATATAGTCGACTAGCCGAGACTCTTCTTTATGTGTACAGATGTGACGTAATGACTCAATATAGTCTTCTAGCCGAGACTCTTCTTTATGTGTACAGATGTGACGTAATGACTCAATATAGCCGACTAGCCGAGACTCTTTTTTATGTGTACAGATGTGACGTAATGACTCAATATGGGCGACTAGCCGAGACTCTTCTTTATGTGTACAGATGTGACATAATGACTCAATATAGTCTACTAGACGAGACTCTTCTTTATGTGTGCAGATGTGACGTAATGACTCAATATAGTCTACTAGACGAGACTCTTCTTTATGTGTGCAGATGTGACGTAATGACTCAATATAGCCGACTAGCCGAGACTCTTCTTTATGTGTACAGATGTGACGTAATGACTCAATATAGCCGACTAGCCGAGACTCTTCTTTATGTGTACAGATGTGACGTAATGACTCAATATAGCCGACTAGCCGAGACTCTTCTTTATGTGAACAGATGTGACGTAATGACTCAATATGGGCGACTAGCCGAGACTCTTCTTTATGTGTACAGATGTGACGTAATGACTCAATATAGTCGACTAGCCGAGACTCTTCTTTATGTGTACAGATGTGACGTAATGACTCAATATAGTCGACTAGCCGAGACTCTTCTTTATGTGTACAGATGTGACGTAATGACTCAATATAGTCTTCTAGCTGAGACTCTTCTTTATGTGTACAGATGTGACGTAATGACTCAATATAGTCTTCTAGCTGAGACTCTTCTTTATGTGTACAGATATGA